ATAGCACTAAAATGGTCAAGGAAATTTGTTTGATTTTGAGCACAACCACTTGACCAAATAGTCAATCTACCTTGTGAGTGAGTGATAATTTGCTTACCCTTTTGAGGCTTTATTAGAATCCATGTTGGTGTTGAGTTCAATTTTTATGGATTCTAATATTTTTTTCTTGAACCATAACCATGACTTGTTATTTGAGTTTTTACCCTTGCCTAATAAGTTTGGGAGCATTCATTTTACCTGTTTGGTTGTATTCAAGTTGGGGAGAAGAAATGTTAGTTGCTATGAGGTTGAAAAAAAGAAAAAAGTTTGAAAAAGAAAGAAAAAAAGTGAAAAAGAAAATAAAATAAAAAAGGAAAAAGCATTGAAAAAGAAGAAAAAAATAGAATAATAGTGTACTAATAAGTTGTGTGGAATGGTGTAGCAATTTGGAGAAGAGAAAAAGGTGATTGGAATTGGTGATTGTTTTAAAGTGTGAGAAATGATCACTCTTATTTGATTAGGCATATTTTTTGTTTCTTTTACCTTGAGAAAAAAATTATTTGTTACCCAGACCGCATTACAAACCTTAAAGCCCTTGTAATTTTTTCTTTTATACTTTCTGATCTCACCTGATCAGAAATGATCGATGATCTGCCAAGCATCGTTGATTTGAAGCTTTCACCGAAGTTATGGAGGAAGAGAGGGGGTACCTGCAAGGCACTCTGATGCTTAAGTGAGTAAAGGATCAGAGTGAGAGAGCAAATACAGAGAAGTAAGTGTAGAGAATAAGATACCTGACCCTTTAGTGAAAGAGGGTATTTATAGAGAGACCCCAGAGCACGGCCAACAGTTACATTGCATTGGGCTAGACTACCAGGCCCAACCCAAGTAACTATCAGGGCTTACGTGGCATAGTGAAGACCAACACGTGGTCTTCACCCTGGATCAACTTCCCTGTGATCTTCGGAAGATGGGCTAGTAAACTCTTTCAGAGGTGGGTAGTTGCCTGATGATGTGTCCCCGCATGGAGGAGTACGTGGAGAACGTGGGGGAAACGTGTGAGTCTCCCTGTCAAATGAGTCGTATACCCGACATATATGCCTTGTTGAGGCTCGTGCCCGGCATGGGAGGATTGAGCCTTATTGAGGCTCCCCAAAGTAGTGTTGGGTTGGGCCTGCCCGACTGAGGGGCAGGTCCCGGTCCAGTCCAGAACAAGAGCCTCCCAAGTCGTTGCTCTGAGGTGGAGGAGTGATGATTTAAGGATAAGTCATGTCGAGGACAGATAGGGAAGGTGGTCATATGCCCGGAAGATGGAGTCGAGAGTCGTGTTCGTCGAAATATCATGTCGGGGAGGCGAAAGATGACTGGGGTGCTAGCTACCTGAGCTCGAGGGAGAACGAAGAGGTACGGTTAGTCATGGTTTCCACATGTCAGGTGCCCATTGTCCATCCTAAGGAGGTTAGTTATAGGGGTGCTTGAGTGCCTAGGGGCGCTTCGAGTTCCGTGCTAGGCTTATAAATAGGTTGTGGTCTGCCCCTTCCTCACTTTTCGCTCCCAATTCTAATGAACGAACAAACTCTTGCTCCTTCACCGACTACGTCATTGTGCAATCACTGTCACTGTACCGTCCGCCGCGACGTCCTTCGTACCTCTACTCAAAATACTGTATCAAGTAAGCATGTTCTTCCTTTTCTTTTGTTTCTTTATTTTCTAGCAACTCCTGCGGCGGACATGATGAGTGTCCCGAGGAGGCTGCGGGTTTTCCGGCGATTACGACGGGATTCCCTTGACCATGGGCGGGCCTAGGATGAAGCTCCCGGGGACGCATAGTAGTTCTAGATATATTCCTCAGGGTCAGGTCATAAGGTTTGGATGAATACCCTGAGGACAGATGATGGTGTTGGATGAGTACCCCGGGGATAGATGATAGGTTTGAATGAACACCCCGAGAACAAATGATAGACCTAGATGAATGTTTCGGGGACGTATGCTAGTTCTAGATGAATGCCCCAGGGATATAGATGGTAGGGCTGGATGAGTACCCCGGGGATATATGATAGTAAATAACGCGGGGAAGTATATGTCGAGGTTGGAGAAGCCTAGGTTGTAGATACCGTCCCCTTTCGTCCTTTCACTTGAGCTGTGGTGGAAGGGTGAATTTGATCTTGAAACGTCAAATTCACCATTTTCCTCTGCTTTTCAGGTGAACATGGCTACGTGAATACCCGGAGTTATAGAAGTCAACCAAAAACCAGAGTCTTTGACGACCCCGCCCGTCAAGGGGCAGAATCGGGTAGTTGAAGACTTGGTCAGGGAGGAGCCATTGAGTACGCCTTACCGTTTTGTCGAGGATGATCCTGATGCATTCTCCATGGTCAAGGATCGTCGTGAGGGTTCCTCTGTGAGTTGGCAAGTATATATATAACGGGCCCACCATCGGATCTGTTCGAGCAACCGGGAGATGCGATTTCCCATGTATGAATTTTTCTTTCGCGAAGCGGGACTTCAACTGCCCTTCTCCAAATTTCAAGTGGGGGTCTTTGACTGGTTGAGGCTGGCGCCTTCGCAGTTGCATCCCAACGCGATTGCTTTTATCCGGGCATACGAGCTCGTCTGCCGGCACCTTTAGATTGAGACCATGCTCACTCTGTTTTTTCAGCTCTTTCATTTGCAACGACAAACGGCCGATGGCCGACAAGGCTAGGTGTCTTTGAAGTAGTTGAGGATGTTATTCAGGGCATACATGGATTTTTTCCGGACCTTCAAGGACAAATTCTTCGTGGTTAGGCCCGTATCTCACGAGGCATACGCCTCGTTATACCGTCATGAGGCTCGGGAGGTGAACGGGCAACGAGAAGAGGTCATGGTACCGAGGGTTCTATTGGAATGGATGGAAGAACACTTCAAATAGATCACGGACCACTATATCGTATGGGCAGGTACCTTAGACGCGGAGGACCAGGTGGGCTACCAAAGGTTGGTGGCCTTCGTGGCTAGTTTCTCCCCGGCGAAATGTGTGACGCCCGACGACAACTTCATCCTCGACAAGAATGGGAATATTCTCCAGCAGTCAAGGCTTATTAATACGAAGGCCTTGCTCAAATGCGCGTCTGAAGAGGAGGCCTTGCATCTGTTAGGTACTGGGTCGTCTTCTGCCCGACCTGTTCTGGGCTCTATTATTCTTGTGCTTCGCTAATCTTTTGCTCTTTTGTTTTGTAGGAAGTATGTCGACCATACAGGAGTGCATGAAACGAATGGCGGCCACCAGTGGTGGGGCGAAGGGTGGAAAAGGGAGGGACGTTTAGGTGCAGCAGTTGCCTACTGCCGAGCAAGAAGGAGGAGGCTCTTCATCGTCACCGCAGGGGAGCCAATCTCCCTTGTCACAAGGGACTCCGAAGAGGGTGAGGATCCATAGGCCAGAGACTGTCGTCGACCTTAATGAGGGCGACATAGAGGAGGGGTTCCTGATTCCCCCTTGCCATCTGCATCCTAGTTTCTTCCACGGGGCCAAGTCTCCTACTGTGTTGGCCGAGGAAGCAAAGGCGGTTCTCAGTTCCATCCGAGAGACGAGGAGACAGAGGCTGACCAAGGACTTGGTTGCAATGATGAGGGTCTTCTCGACGGCTCTAACTCTGAGCAAAGAGAGTGTCTGTTTTGCTGATCTTGCCAAACTGCGGGGGGACCCCGCAGCTGCTGAGTCGAAGCTGACCAAATTGGTTGCCGAGCTGGATTTAGCCAGGGAAGACAACACCGCACAGCACAAGCGGAACAACGAGGCGGGGGAGCAGCCGAAGGCCATTGGGGAGGACAAGATGAAGCTGCAGGCGCGGATCGCGAAGCTGGAAGCTTCCCTTCAACTTGCCGAGGAGGAGACCGATGAAGAGAAGCTCCTAACTTCTCGGGCTGAATTGGTGGCGAGGATTCGGGACCTCGAGCAGGTTTTTTTAGGGGCTGTCGAAATTGGCTATGAAAGTACTGTGGAGTAGCTTAAAATAGTGAACCCCGAGGTTTCCCTTATCACTGAAGGGATGGGACCCTATCACCAGGTCATCAACAGATGGGTGGTAGTAGCGCTGGACAGAAAAGTGGTGAACCGGTCCAATCCGACCAGTCTGTATGGCCCATGAAGAAACGGTTCGGTTGGGTCGGTTTTTTGGTTTACCGGTTTGACAAATGTTGGATTCACATGGTTTTGGTTGGTCGGTTTCGGTTGGTTATTTTCAATCCAGTGAAATCCGAAACCGACCGCTACTATTTCCAATTCAAAATTTCTCTACTCGTGTGTCTACTGTCTAGAGTATCACTTTCACTTTCATTCTCTACAACAGAACAACATCGTGTGTGTCTAGGGTTTCACTTTCACTTTCATCCTCTACAACAGAACAACAACAACAGAGCGCGGATCAACCCTAAAAATCTCTCAACCTCAAGCTAACACCATCACCACCACAGAATACTTCACCGTCAACATCGACCTGTCATGTAAATTTTTATGCACTCATCTTTGTTCTCTTTCTCTTTCGCTCCATTTCTCAATCTCTCAATATATATTTTTTATTTATTCAAAAATGTTGTTCATGCTATTTTTCCTTATTGTTTGATTTGTTTTGATTATTGGGAGATGGAACATGGAAAAAGGAACTTGCAAGGAGCTGAAGAAGGGAGCTTGCAAGGTGCTGAAAATGCTAGTTTGCAAGGGCTGAGTCAAGGTATGTGTTTGTGTTTAAAAGTGTTACCTTGTTTAGTATGTCAAAATATAAGATTGATTATTTTAGTTTACCCAAATATTTTCAGTGCCGGAACATCCTGTTTCCCATGCTGAACCTACATAAGTAGAATCTGCACTTCCTCACGTTCCCCCTGCTAGGAAAAAAAGACAAGTTAGTGCTAGTGGAACTAGGAAAACTTCCTCTGTTTGGTTAGACTTTAACATTTTACCTGATGAACCTGAACCAATAGCCGCGTGTAAACATTGTCACAAAAGATACTGATGCGACCCTAAAATACATGGAACATCCAACATGTTAGCTCACTCAAAAGTGTGTCACAAAAACCCTAACCTTTTACAGAAAGATCCCACACAAAGAAACCTTGTAAGTGGTGATGCTGGTTTTTTAGGTTCAACAAGCCAAAGGTTCAATTCTCAAGCATGTAGGAAGGCTATTACTTCCTTTGTTATTCTTGATGAGCATTCCTTTAGAGTGGTAGAGGGTGAGGGTTTTAAGAAACTATGCAAACAACTACAACCACAAATTGCTATCCCTTCAAGGAGGATTGTTGCTAAGGATTATTTTCAACTTTACCTAGCCGAAAAGTTAAAACTTAAAGCCTTTTTTTAAATCTGATTGTGCTAGGGTTGCACTAACCACAGATTGTTGGACTTCAATTCAAAATCTTAGTTACATGGCCATAACTGCACACTTCATTGACAATGCATGGATCTATCATAAAAATATTATTAGTTTTAGTTTAGTTCCAAATCACAAGGGTGACACCATTGGTAAAAAAAGTGGAAGATGTTTTGAAGGAATGGAGGCTTAGGAAAGTGTCAACAATTACCCTTGACAATGCAACATGTAATGATGTAGCTGTTTCTTACTTGGGAAAAAGACTTAAGAGCAAGAATTCTTTAATTGGTGTCGGGAGTTTTTTGCATATGAGGTGTGTTGCCCATATCTTAAACTTGGTTGTGAGAGATGGACAAAAAGATAATGAGTTGTCTATTGAAAGTGTTCACAATGCTGTTAGGTTTGTGAGGTCCTCACCACAAAGAGCTTTGAAGTTTAATGAATGTATAGAAATTGTAGGGATAACATGTAAAAGAAAACTTGGCCTTGATATTTCCACACGATGGAATTCCACTTACTTGATGTTGGATGCTGCTGAGAAGTTCCAAACAACATTTGAAAAGTTAGAGGATGAGGATCCTAGCTATATGGAGTTTTTTGAACATTCCGGTCCCCCTTGTTCTACTGATTGGGAAAAAGCTAGGGCTTTTGTGATTTTTTTGAAAACATTCTATGAAGCAACCAAATTGTTTTCATCTTCGCAAGAAGTGTCGTTACATTTAGCCTTTCATAACTTGTCTGATATTTTGTGTAAGCTTCAAGAAGAGTCCTTGAACATGAATACCTATGTGGCTCCAATGGTTTCTAATATGAGGACCAAATATGATAAATATTAAGGAGATGTTGAAAAAGTGAATCATTTTATCTATTTTGGAGTGATCTTTGACCCTAGGTTTAAGTTTGGTTATGTTGAGTGGTCTTTCAATAACATGTATGGGGTTGGTAGTGAACTTGCTAAGAAAAATGTTGAGTGTGTTAAAAAAAGTCTATATACACTATATAATTGGTATAAATTTGAGCATGATAAAAATGTCGGGGATGCCCTCTTAGATGCACCATCCGGGAGCACTTCCCATGGAGAAACATGCACCTAAACTAGAAAACCATCACTTTTTACAAGGGCTGATGCTTTTAAACAACACTTGAAAGAGAAAGACACGGTTGATAATCAAAATGAACTAGAGAAGTACTTAGGAGACCCTTGTTGGGGAGATGCTGTAAATTTTAACATTCTTAAATGGTGGAAGGAGAATTCCACATGTTATCCTATATTAGCTACTTTGGTTAGGGAAGTTTTGGCAACACATGTTTCAAGTGTAGCATCCAAAAGTGCTTTTAGTACTAGGGGCGAATTTTAGACATGTATCAGAGTTCTTTGAGTCCGGCAATGGCCGAGGCGCTTATTTGTTCTCAAAACTGGTTGATGCCTTCTAACGAGAACGAATCAAGAGTCCTTGATCTGCTTGAAGAATATGACATAACTGATTCTATAGTTTCAGGTACTTTATGAAACAAAACTTTATCTTTTTTAATATTATTTTAATAACTTTAGCCTCATTATATTTTTGGTATCTTGCAGAGTTTTGTGTAGGTGTTACCGTTGGAGCAACTGCTCCTGGGCAGACTGGGCCTATTTAAATCACCTTTAGGTATATGCTGAATTTTTTCTATTGTACATGCAGCCACTATATATATATATATATATATATATATATATATATATATATATATATATATATATATATATATATATATATATATATATATATATATATATATATATATATATATATATATATATATATATATATATATATATATATATATATATATATATATATATATATATATATATATATATATATATATATATATATATATATATATATATATATATATATATATATATATATATATATGCCGCAAACATTCTATTGTACTTGCAGGCATACTAAACCATTTTTTCTCTTGTACTTGCAGCCACTTTTTGAATTTTTTTGGAGTCTTGAATGACTCATAATATTAAAGCCATTATAATTAGTAAATCAGTTTTAGGAATCCATGTAATAATTTTGGGGCACTGTTGTTTTGGGTAAGGAATCCACTATTGGTTTAATACAGTGACAATGCTGTGAGTTTAAACTTCTTTTGGGGCTGTTCATGACGATGAATCCAGACCTGTTTTGGTAATTTTCACTTCTTTTTGAGTTTGATTGTTTTGTTTTTCTGAGTTAGTAATAATTTGTGATTTAAATTTGGGTGTATACAGATTTTCCGCATAATGGGTTTTCTTCTGTGTTTACAGTTGCCTTCATTGGAGGTGCTCTTTTTATACTTCAGCAGTTTGCAGGCATAAACAGAATTCAAAGTAGTGCTTTAGCAAGCTTGTTTGTTGGGCTTATTCCTTGGTAACTCTGATTTTCATTTTTGCTTCTTTGTTTAATTTGATTGATTATTTCAGTGCTGGTTCAAGTGCTGATTCTCATTATCTTAATATGTTGATTCTAGTATCAGTGACGGTGTTCGTTGGCCGTTTTAACATGCGAATGATGTAGGTAAGGTTTCAGGTAATTTCTATCTCATCAATTTTGGCTTCAAATTAATTTGTTACTGAGGGTATGCTGCTTGTGGTGTAGGTGCTGGTGGCGGATTCAGAAGCGTTCAAAAATCCACTGGCAGAACCTTGGGCTAAACTAGTCCATTTGGTTCAACAAAGAGATGGTTACTCTTATATAATTGCAGCTTCAAGTCCCTTTGGTAAAAACGTCATGCCGCATGTTGCTGCTCTTTTAGATGTTTCTCCGGTTACTGATGTCCCAGGAATTTCTGATTCTCATACTTTTGTAAGGTGCATTAACTTTTGTGACTCACTCTTACTTTCATGTTCACTTTTTGTTTTAGTAAAAAAGAACCATGTTGTTTATTGCACAATTCCATACTGGTCACTTATTAGATACTCATGATTGATGCTTACACTTAACTAAGGTTGACCTTCTTCGTCCATGGAATTGTTATTGATAAAAGACATCAGGACAGGTTTTGAACTAATGTTGAGTCGTGATTCTTAGACGAGGACTGAAAATGACACACCGTAAATTTTGGTTCCTGTATATAAATGTTGGTCTATTTCAATATTTATTGCTTCCTTAAATTATGGCCAAATTATCTATTTCAATCTTTGTTCGAAAGGGTGAGTTTCATATTTACGTCATTCTGTTGGAATTCGTAATTGCATTTGCTGCTGTTTGTTTTGATTCTGTCACTACGGTTTGTATTTAATGGAATTACATTGCCGCTAAGATTCAGTCCGAGTTATTCATTTTGGTAGTTGCATTTCTGTACATATCTCTGATATATATGGAACAGTTAGAGTGACCTTTATAAGTTATAATTTTCATTATGGTATCAGTTCCTAAGAATCTGATCATAGCATTACATTGATCAGGTTGAAATAGGGTCTCATTCCTTAACATTTGATCATGTTTATGGAAATGGTGGATCTCCTTCATCTGAAATGTTTGCGGAATGCGTTGCTCCATTGGTTGATGGCTTATTTCAAGGATACAATGCTACTGTGCTTGCTTATGGTCAGGTTAGGTCCATAGTGCATGATCATGTACCCAAAGTTGAAAAAGATAATTCAATCCATATTTTCATTTGAAGCACATTCATATTTTTTATTTAAAGCTCATATTTGTTGCAGACAGGATCCGGGAAAACGTATACCATGGGAACTGCCTGCAATGACAGTACTGGGATTGGATTGATTCCTCAGGTTATGAATGCCTTATTCAACAAGATTGAAACTCTAAAGCAGCAAACGGAATTTCAGTTGCTTGTTTCCTTCATTGAGGAATATTAGTTATATCGTTATACCGTGTGTCATCAGTCATACATAAGCACGCTTCTTTGCTACATTTTATTTTGAATCTATAACTGTTACATCATGGATGTTCATTCAAAAGGAATTTTATCTCAAAACTATGACACTGCTTTTCATGCAAAAAATAAATTTTGTCATGAACGATTATTCTTTTCAAGGACTTGATTGTGTTAACGAAGAAGACAACGACTCACACACATAGCACACCTGAGAATTCGTAATTGCATTTTTGTACCAACTCGAGGCATCATCCTTTCTTAAGGATGACTGCTTGAAGATAAATTGCACTGTTGGTGTTGTTGTGTCGTCCATAGATTGTTCTAAATTGACCACCATACATGTTCCTGAATCTGATATTGGATCGCATTTCAGCATGCTGTTAGAGAATGAGGAAGGATCTGATGTTACTTTCTCTGTTGGCGGTGAAAGGTTTCACGCACACAAACTTGTTATGGCAGCCCGATCAACTGCATTTGAAGCTGAGTTTTTCAATAGGATGGAGGTAGATGACTGCAATGTCGTTGTTATGGCAGCCCGATCAACTGCATTTGAAATTGAGTTTTTCAATAGGATGGAGGTAGATGATTGTGATGTCGTTGTTACGAACATGGAACCTAAGGTTTTCAAGGTAGCTCTTTTCCTCTAAAGTGTCATTTTTCCTCCATCCTTTTGCAGCTATCTTTTATTGCATGCTATATGCAAACATGCATGTTCTAACCAATCAAGTGTTATATATTATTTGCTTGGTTATCTAATGTTTCTTGAATCCTATTGTTGAGCAGGCTTTGCTTCATTTTATTTACAGAGACGCTCTTATAGAAGATGAAGAGTTCTTCATGTCAGGTTCATCGTTTCTGCCTTCAATATCTGAAACATTTGCAGCAAAGTTATTAGCGGCTGCCGAAAAGTATGACTTGCCTAAACTTAAGCTGATGTGTGAGTCTGTACTTTGCAAAGACATATCTATAGGTTTTGTTGCCTATATTCTGGCTCTTGCCGATCTCCATCATGCTACGGAGTTAAAGTCCATCTGTCTACAATTTTCGGCTGAGAACCTTATTGGCGAGTTTGTTTATTTATCACTAAAGTATAGTCAGCTACAATTAAG